CTACCTTTTCAAGCATTTTGTGTTCTACCAATCTTTGTCCAATAGTTCGGCATGTCTCGCCAACATAACATCGACTACATGAGCAAACAATCTTCCAGCAGCCGGATCTCTAAAATGGGTCATATTTATCTCTAAAAGATGGCATAATATAAGAGAGTGTCAGGGTTTCTTTGAACACTGTTTTTATGCTCTACTTCTTCACTAATTCGTCTATCTTTTTTGAGAGAAAACATGACAGCAAAATTAGGACATAGGAAAAGGTCTCAGTTTGCTTTCTTTGACTAAATGGTCTCCGTCTGAAAATGTATTCCTCGGTAGAGAGATATTATTCTTAATTAGGCCTAAAGGATAATTATTTTTCAGAAATATATTTTTAAGCTGTTCCAACTCTTTAGTCAAATGTTTACTATCCGCTATCCTCATAGTTCTTAGAATCATTTACTTAAAATTTTTTTTTGCTCAATTGAGTCTATATAAATCGTAAGATAGAGCCATATAATCTTATTGGCCTAGTGATTACCTGAGACTTTTACAGGAATGGGAGCCAGCTCTGATGATGTCCATCATATGATGGACGAAAGCTCAGCCAGTTTTTACCCGAACTGAGGAAGGAAAGATCGTGGACTGCGTCAACCTAAATGTGGTTTAAAAGCCAATCGGCTGCAGTTCAACGGGATTCATCCGTCTAACTTATTACTTTCCTTGCTCACTAATACATTTACAAAATACAATTTATCTTCCTTTTCTAACTGCATTGTTAACTTAGTATTTGTATCTATTCTATTTGTTAACTCAAGGAATTTCCCCAAACTATCTTTGTTGTATTGCCAAAGAGCAAAGTAATCGTCCATATAATAAGCTAATAACTTGGGGACTAGGGCTGTCTCTTTAAGCATACGAACTTCTAATTTGTCCATGTAGTTATTAGCTTAAATAGGGGCTAAACAGGCTCCCATAGCCATACCCCGTATCTGCTCATACAACTTACCAGTGAAGGTAAAATTTGTATTATGCAAACTGATTAATCTAATGATCGAATATTTGCCTAACTTTTTACTTGTTATAATTTCAGAGTGTTGATCTAGAGTTAATTCTAATGCCCTCATTGCCTCGTTTATCTTAATGCTAGTGCACTTAGATACTACTTCGGCCAGGTTTGTATCAAGGCCAAACTAATAATGAAAGCTGGGGTCTACAATTAAACAAAAATACAATTTCTACCAAATTGTCTGAACTCGTTTTGGCAATTTGGTCGTGTTGTCAGGGTGACCTAGTTAGACGCACCTCGTATAGAGTCCTGTGCCATAATAGTTATGATTGGTCCCAGCGTTAGACCGTGGACTTGGTACATTCCCAGACGTTTCGCCGGCATCGTAAGTGAGCCTTTCCAGTCTTAGCATCAAGCTATAACGGGAAATTATCACAACTATGATGGTGGAGAACCTCAGACTAGGGGTGTCCAACTAGATTACCTTGACAATAGGACAATGTTGCGAAAATAAGATTAGACCACTCCTATGCATTAAAAGGAGATTGTTGACAAATAGAGGCCACGAAATCTTGGTCTTCATATCTTTCTATAGTTTTAGCAGTTTATATTTAGCTTGCTCAGAACTGTTTTATCTTGTCACTTGGATAGTAAATTTGATCATTTCATATTTCCATTTTTAACTTCAGCCCAAAGTTCACCGATTTTCCTACTTTAAGTTGTTTCTTAAATTTCATGAGTAGTTCTCTAAGAAGTGTTGCTGGTTTATTCATTAATGGAATATCGTATCAGGTAAGCATTGATTTGCTAATTAGGTTTCTACATTTTGAGTAGATAATGATTGAGGACCCAAATCACTTTCAATTATTTAATACGCAAGTAAATGACTTGATCAAAATTAAGCAAGTAAACAACCTCTTTTTTCCTTTGAATTTAACTATGTCTTATACCGAAAGAGCTTTATGATTAAGGCTGAATTGCAGTTAAGTACTCCAATGAATTTTATTAGCTTTTTGTACGCTATTTGAGACGTGGTAGTTGGCGTACTCATCATTTATATTCGAAAAATAGATTTCATGGACTGTATACTTATTTGGTTAAGCTATATTCACTTGCTTATCACGGGCGTCTTATTCTATAATTGACTGGCTCTGTCAATCTCAATTTATCTTTCTTCTTTTTTAGAGTTCCCAATCTCCAGCAATCTCCACCGTTGAGACTAGCGTCCCCAGCCCAAGTCAGACCGTAGCCAAATGCTCTTCGCTATCCTCCTTTGTTTGTCGCTCTCTGCGCACCAGCCCCAAAAGCCCTAGTTCCGTCGCATCTCAGGTACGTGGGTTCCCTGACCCTGAGGCCTCCCTCAACCCAGAAGCGTCAGAAGCCGCAGGGACTCTATTCGACCGACTCGATTCGTTATCGGTCCTCCAATTGCCCAGCGATGCTGGTCTCAGCGCTTCGCCACGGTCCGCACGCAGCTTTCCCCCCAGTAATTTACCTTCAATCTCCCAGCTACGAGGTCCAGACTCCATTGAGCCGCAATGGCGACAAGATACTTCAACCAATAGAGCTCAGTTGGGTTCCTTAGCTGGCGAAAACTGCCGAGTCGAAGCCGGAGCTCTTCTTGCAACTGATGAAGTGGACATTTTGATCATGAATACGGGTGCTGAAGACGAGCAGGATGGCGTCGATGAGGAAGAAGAAGATGAGGAACAGGAAGCAAATCAATTGAGACTTGAAGAAGACATAGTCAGAAATCTGGGAGGCAATTTGGATACAAATGATCAAGCACCAAA